CTAAGTCAATAAATTAACGTCACATAACGTATAAGGGTCTTTCGGATTATTCTATCTTATTATATGCTAGAAAATAGATGAGTAATATTAATACATAATTAATTATTTAGACATTGAAATTTTGATTATTTTGCCTTTATTGAAATAAGGACACGAATTAGGATAAAACATAATGTAAGTATGTAGAAGTGCGTCCATATTAGTAGATAAGAGCAGAGGCGGACCCATATGTAAGGGTAGGGGTGCATGTGCACCCATTAACTTCAGAAAAATGATGTTGTTATATGCATATCTATCTTGAGAAAATCACAGATTCAAGAATACAATTAATAGTGCACCCACAAAGAGCATATGAATGTCTTTGTATTGTTGGTACAAGCTAGATAATTCACCCTCAAGATCAAGGTTTGAATCCAACTAGAGCATTTTGATTATTTTATTTAAAGTATAGCTTAGAGATCATATTTGGTGCATCCGAAGTCTTCAAATTCTAGGTTCGCCTTTGGCAAGGGCGGTATCACCTTGTACTAAAGGGGTTCATTCGAACCCCCTTCAGCGGAAAATTATATTATTTATACATGGTCAAAATATTTTTTTATGTATATATAGTAGATATCCTTCGGCTACTTCGTGTCTATTTCTACAGAGTTTGGACTCTCTAATTGAAAATCCTGGCTCCGCCACAGGCCTCTGGATGAGAGTGTTTTGTCTTGTTGCCCTTACTACTAGTAGTTAAACTACTTTTGTAGTTTCTTATTTTTCGATTTCTATGACTATCTATTATTTCGTGTAGTATGTTTGTAGCATTATTTTGTTATAGTACTGCTATGTTATTTTATGTTGTTTCTATTTGTAAGTTTTTGGGTAGCGGGTCGCCAATATAGATCGACCCGGTTCAATTTGATCTGATCCGACCCAATATTTGTTTTTTTCTAAAAGAAAAGATAAACTACAAATTTAAAAGGTGAAATGGTTTGGTGGACACTTGTACTTGTATGAGTTTGTATTATGGACCCTTCTATTTAACCTTTTATCAATTGAACCCTTAAACTTAATCAAAAGAGGATTTTTAAACCTCTCCTACCATGTGTGTAGTTCACTCGCCCTTAATTAGATGACATGTCAAATCCATGTCATTTAAATTAGGCTTAAGTCATCTGTGGCCCCTTAAAGTTGTCCGTATAATTCATTTAGACACCTCAACTAAGACTTGTACCTATTGAACACTCTAACCTTAAGAAATTTTTACCTATTTGACATAAACTGACAAACAGTTGAAAATAAAAATGTGTGTATCTCAAACGTGAATACAAAATAGATTTACCAATAAAATGATGACACATGGTATTGTATTCAATTTTTTTAAAAGCTCTATTTAAATAATCCAATTCTGGTTTCCCCTTCCATCGGAGCCGGTGTCGGCACCGGCGACGCCAGCAAACCATCGATCTACCTCTTTCTTCTCTTTCGTTGGCGTCGGCAGTATAAAATACACCATTGCTATCCACTCAAGCTAAATACACATTCTCTTTCATTTCGATAGCATGAATATCTTTTACTCATTGTCTTCATCTTCTATCCATTAGTAACTATTTATTAAAATTGGAAAAAAAAAATAACAAACTTTTTCCCAAAAAAAATCAATTCATATTTTTTCATGTAATAAATTGAGCTTCATTGAGATATTTGAGACGTAAATTAATATAAAAATGGAAATAAGAAGAAGAATGGCAGAGGGTGAGAGAAAGAGAGAGGTGGAGGGGGTGGAGTGTGCGCATGTGTGTAAGAAAATGATGAAAATGGTAGGAATAATAGATGCAGTGATGGGGAAGAAGACGACTGCTCCTTTTTTTTTGTTAATTAATTTTTTTTCTTTTTTATTAATTCAGGTGCATAAGTTAAGGGAAAAAAAAGAAAAAAAAATTATTTTTTGATAACTTAACGCGCTCAAAGAAACTGAAGCACACATTTTTTGCCATGTCAGCATTTTGTATCTAATATGATGACTTTTGAACAAATAAGGTGTTCAATTGACATAGGGTTAAGTTGAAGTGTCTAAGTGAATTATGCGGACAATTTTAGGTGGATAGAGATGACTTAAACCTTTAAATTAATAATATATCATCATTATCTTCACTAATTGTTCTTTAAAAAAAATTATTAACTAAATTTATTAAATAAAAGATAAAATAATAAAAAAATAATTTATTTCTTAAAGTAAAATTTGTGCTCCTCTAACGCACATTGTTTCCTTTACTCTTTTCGCAGAACCAGCCATCGTAAGTGGCCGCACCACCAGCTCCGGCCGACAAACCTTTCGTCGCCGTTACCAGTTTCTCATGCCATCTCCTGCCTCGTTCTCCTCTTCACTGTTTTCCTTTCTCTACACTACCGACGACCCCTGCGAACCACCAGAAATAGCGTCTCATCTCCATTCTCTCTGGCGTACAAACAAACTCTCTCGCTGCCTCCCATTCTCGTGGAAAAGAGACAACCACCGCCTCCCATTCTAACAAAAAAGGGACTAGCACTGCAAACCGGCGAGCACCACCATGAAACCAACATCGCTCTCTCCCTCCACTGATAATCTCCATGAAACCTGACGTCATGAAAATGCTAATGCCAAGAAGAAAATGCAGGGTGTGGAGAAGGGAAAAAATGGGGTTAGGGCAATGATGGAGTGGGAGAAGAAAATGGTTTTTTTCCTTTTTTTAATTTCTTTTTATAATCTTAAAATTTAAAATATGGTGTTCGCTTGCCTTAACACACGTGTAGTCACACTCTCTCACCAACTCAACCATTATAATGTCACATAAACATGGTCAATGGTCAAACAGGTTTAATATATTATGTTTTATTGAATTTAAGGGTTCAGTTGATAAAAAGTTAAGTAGAAGGATCCACAATACAAATTCATATAAGTATAAGGGTCCATCGGACCATTTCGCCAATTTTAAAAAGGGGGAACAGTTACAAAGTAACTTCTTCAAGGTAAAGAAACTCCCTTAAATTGTTTTATCTAACACTTCCTAGCACTGGAAAAAAAAAATGTGAACAGAAACAAGAGAAAAACAAGAAAAACTTTGTTTCTTCAAAAGAAAAACAACAAACAAAGTTGATATTTAGTTTGTGAAACGTAGCCTTTGTTTCCTAGTGATTGGAAGAGTGATTGTGGAGCAATTCGTTTTGGTAGCAAAATCAAAGACACCGCTGCAAGTATAAGGTACACAACTCATCGATTTTGCTCTATATATATCTAACACTATTACTATCTATTGTCTATTGTGCTCCTATTATGTCTTTTTCTAGATTATTTTTGTCTTGAGCCGAGGGTCTATCATAAAATGTAGAGATAAGGCATGCATACTATTTCTTCTCCAAATGTCATTGTGTGGAACCACACTAAGTATGTTTATTGTGTAAAGTATTAATATGATATATAATTGAGACGTTTGTTAAAAAAAAATCAAAATCATAATCATAACTATTTATATATATATCAAAATCAAACAAAGTATACTACTTTTGATTACTGCACCACTAAACCCTGAAATCAAATTTTAAAACATCAATTATATAGAATTAATTTAGTACATATGATTATGATAATAGTATTGTGAAAAAAAATAAAAAGCTGTAATTAACAAATCGAAGTTATCATCATCATATAATTACCATATCATGCCCCAAACAAGTGTTGCATGTGCTCTTTGTCGAATGAGTTTAATTTGTATTTCTCAATCAATCTTCAACTTTTTTGCCATCTTATCTTTTTCATTTATGACATTAATGTTCCTAACTAGTGAAAAATTATTCATCTGCCTCAATTCGATCAATAATGAAACTCTTAACTAGTGAAAGTTTTGTAACATTGATGTTCAATGTAACTCTCTCCATCATTGATCTGTTTAACAAAGAATAAGATACTCAATTAATTTTTTGATTGAATTTCAAAAAGTTGCATTAAAATAGATTTCTAGTGATGTCTGAGTTTATTATTCTATTTAAATACATAATTGTCTAAATCTTATCAGAATTTGCAAAGTGAAACGAGCAAATATAAACTGATGTTAAGATAAAGTCCAGCTGATAATTTAAAAGATCATGTTAATTATAGTAGTAATAATATAAAGAAAGCAATCGTTTACAGTAGCATTTGTGGTCATAACTACAATTGGGAAAAAGAAATAAATAATAAAAATGCAATAACAGAAAACATGCGGTTTTAATTGTAGAGCAGCTGAGAAAATGATCAAAATGGTCCTTAATGTATGGGCTTTGATTCCATTTGGTCCTTAATGTATGGACTTGATGGAAATGGTCCTTTATGTATTATAAATTGTGATCAATTTGATCTTTAACCCTAAAATTTTAATGGCAGCGATTATTTTTTAAAAAAAATAAACTAAAATTGCTACACGTGGAGCGATTTCCCATTATTTTTTAAGCAGTCCTCGCCTCTAGAATTTTTAATAAAAAAAAATTTAAACTTTTTTAAGAAAATGGTTGTTATAACAGCTATTTCTATTTTTTAAACGTTGTTGGGGCAGCGTTGTTAAAAAAATAAAATCACAACAGCGATTTTAAAGAAAAAAGAATTATTTTTTTGGACCGGCAGCGATTTTTATGTTTTTTAAAGGAGTAAC